ATCACTTTCAATTTCCTCCTCACCACTGTCAGCCTCTACCCGTAACATCTCATCCAGTTCCTTCAAGTCATTAGGAGTAAGTTCCTCCTCATGAGACATCACAAGCTCTTCCACATCCTTCTCCTCCACTTCAAGACCCAATGACTGACCAATGGACACAATCTCCTGGTCCAACTCTGTGTCATCCTCAAATCCCTCAAAATCATGGACTACTGATGGCCACAGTGCTTTCCATGAAGAATTGAGGGTTCTATTGGAGACTTCTTGCCATGATGACACAATCAATTTTACAGCCTCCAGGACGTTGAATTGTGTCTTCCAGAACTGTTTCAGTGTTAGTTCAGGATCAATGGAAGTTGCCTGATGACACCTCCTAAACATTTTCTTCATGTACAACTTCTTGAAGTTGCTGATCACATTCTGGTCCATTGGCTGTATGAGTGATGTAGTGTTTGGAGGCAAAAACAACACTTTCACAAAGTCAAATTTATACTCCAAATTTCTGGCAAGGTCAGGGTCATGACCAGGAGCATTATCCATGAGGAGAAGAGCCTTTACAGGAAGTTTATTGGTGGTTAGGTAGCTCTTGACAGAGGGGCAAAACACATCAATAGCCCATTCATTAAAGAACTGTCTTGTCACCCATGCCTTACGGTTGGACTTCCAATAAACTCCAAGCATTGTTCTTACCACTTTCTGTTGCTTGAACACCCTGGGGTTTTCAGAGTGGTAGACAAGCATAGGCTTCAGTCGGAAATCCCCTGAAGCATTGGCACCAAGCAATAGAGTGAGACGGTCTTTCATGGGTTTATGCCCAGGTAAAGAGGCTTCATCCTTGGTGATGAATGTTCTTTTGGGCATCTTTTTCCAGAACAGCCCAGTTTCGTCAACATTGAAAACTTGCTGTGGAAGATAATTTTCTTCTTCCATCAGTTTTTTAAATTCAATTAAAAACTTTGCTGCCCCTTCTTTATCAGCACTAGCAGCTTCACCATGCCTAACAACACTTAAAATGTCACTTCTTTTCTTAAATTTTTCGAACCAGCCTTTGCTAGCCCGAAAATCTTCAAATTCTGTTCCTGAAGAACTAGGTTGATCTGTCTTTAAATGTTCATAAATCTCCCTGGCTCTTTCACAAATGAAATCACCAGAAACTGAATCACCTTTCATCTGTTTTTCCCTAATCCAGATGATAAGTAACCTCTCAGTTTCTACGATTAGGGATCTACTTTTAAACACTCTTGTAGATTTGTCTCTCACGTTCACTTCCTTAAATTTGTCTTTTTGTGCAAGAATTGTCGACACAGTTGATGCCGACATGCCATATTCTTTGCATAGCGCATTTGATTTAATACCTTGTTCGTGTTTTTTTATTATTTCCTGCTTCATTTGGATTGAAATCACTTTTCTTGATCTCTTAGGCCCCATGCTGGATTCAAACAATGGCAACACGTATTTTTCAAAGTTAAACTAGCTGTAAATAAAGAATATTTTCTTTAAAATAACACTGCACTGCACTATATATTGTCAATATGTAAAATAATTTTCAAAATGACCAATAATTTGCTTGGAAACACAGAAAAAAAGCGTTTAGTTGAAGAGAGTCTCAAGCAAGATGTTACCTCCAGTGAAAACAGAGAGAGACTGACGCCTGTTTGCTGTGTTAAGAGGCTGGATGCCGCGCATTAAACTAGTCACTTTACCTTCAATTATGTTCAATAATTGTTAAAATGACTAAAAAAGTTAATATTAAACTTTTAAAATAATTGAATAGTATAAACTTCTTGATATTTACAAAAATAGTAAGGAATTTAAGCCCTAGAACCGATTAATGTATTGGCGGACTGATACTAAAGCTGGTTGCCCGGTCAGTGCAAGCGAAAACATGTTGAGGTCGGTTCGTAAGAAGTTCGTTAAGCGAAATTTTTTCGTTAAACCGAATTGAAGATCCTTATGGAAGGCAGTTCGTTAATCGAAATTACGTTAACCGAGGTGTTCGTTAAACGAGGGGTCACTGTACTGTACTGCACTGCCAAACACTGATATGACAATGCCAGTTCATGAAATGATTGACTGGCAATAATAGGAAATGGCAATGGTGGTGGAGCCAGAGTATCTTACTTTCTTATATCTGGTACCAATGAAAACAACTTTGTTGAAACATTTTTGTGTAATTTTAAGTTTTTTGTGGACAGGGTAGGTTCAGACCAAACGGGTCAGTTGTAAACAAACTGAGCAGACATGTTCTGACTAGGCAGAATTTTTGGAGGCATATTTATGGTAAATAATTAATTCATGTACAAAGCACATAGAGACATCATTTTAGTGTCATATGATCAGTTTTAAGTGTTTTACCCCACAACTTCCCTCATAACTTTTATATGAATCCTCATCAATTTGCACAAACTTTCTTGTGCCCCCTCCCCCAGATCAGTATCTTAATTTGCCAAAACAGGCTTTAATCATATACTGTACAGTAATAACTAGAAGCCATTCTTCAGAGGAAAACTTGTTTCTTACCTCTCGGATATCCAAAAAAGGTTAAAGGAATTGCAACTTTCCCGCTTGTGTTTTTGCCGAGTGTAAATACAGCCAGCCACACACGGATGCCGTGTATATGGTTAAACTGTTGACATGTTTCCCAGCGACCTTTCCAAATTAACTGTTAACACAGTAACACCCTAACTAACTGACCTGACCTACCCTGAAAAATGAACTTCCTTCCTAGGATACGTATGTTAGATATGTAAGGTTTGATTTTTTAGTTTAATAATGATAAATTGTGGGTTGCTAGTTGCTGGCAAACATCTGTGGGTATGACGAGATGCAGTACAGGTATGAAAACTTTCCAGGACAAAATACAGTGGGGTATGCTATAACGAATCTAATTGGTTCTAGAACCTTGTTCGTTATAGGATTAATCCGTTCCAGGCCCCCAAATACAACCACTTAACACTGAAAAATATAATATAAAATTGAAAAATTGTAGAAAAGTGCATAAATATGCATCTAAACTCCTGAAATAAAGAATATCATTAATACTTGTAATAAAAAACAATAAATTAGTAAAAAAAAAATGTTTGTTGTAGGAGTTTCGTTTGTTATAGCATTCTCAATTTTATAGGTAAAACCGTTTGTTATAGGAATATTCGTAGTAGAATCCGTTCGTTATAGCATACCCCACTGTATTCAAACGAATATGAAAATTGATGTAAATCCGAATTTGTTGGTGTATTATTGATTTTAAAAAACTATTTAATCATCTATACAAAAGTATTCAAAAGTAGCTGCCATTATGTATATACTGTACAGTACAGTATATGGAAAGAAACAAGTTTTCTTCTAAAGAATTTTCTCTTGGTTACTCCTAATAGGGCTCTGTTGTAAACTATCGCAGTACAGTATACCTCCTTTATCTTTATGGTAAAAAGGTATATTTTGGAGCTGCCTAATTAATATTGATTTTCTCAAATATTTAATGTAATGCATAGTGTAAATATGGTTGTTTATTTTTTATTGTATTTTTTATTTTTTTGGGGGGGGGGGGATTGGCAGTGGTGGGCACAGCTAAACGAAAAGTTAGCTTCGCTAACCACTAATCTGCTAACTAAAAAGTTAACTTCGCTAAACAGCTAAAAAATTAGCAGAAGCTAACGCTAACCGCTAACTTTTATATGAATTTAGTTTCGGTTTTTTGGGGGGAGGGGGGCTCTAAAACCCTTAAAAACAGACCTAGAGAGCTGAAATTTTCAATGTTGTCTTGGAGCTTAGACATAGAGTTTTCCAAAAAGGTATAGCATGCCAAGATCAGATGGTGATCAAAGTGTACACAAATAATTAAACGAACAAATGAAATGAAACATTAGTTTACATTCAAGTTTCAACATAAACATTATAATCTTTATTTACTGTACGAAAAGACAAAGTATTAAACGAATCCAAAACTATAGTACTGTACTGTATAGCATAGGTAGCATATAGCATCATGCCAAGATCAGATAATTATCAACTTATCAAGGTACACTGTACACCATTTTACAAATAATTAATTTGCATTCTCATACAACCTATCGGCCTTATTCATTATTCATGTAAATATGCAATACCAACCACATATACATTATACCAGTGCATTTTTATATAACTTATTTTTGGTCTTAGTTATTATACCAGTGCATTTTTTTGAACTTATTGTTGGTGTTAGTCATGTAAATAAACAGAAAACTCTAAACTTTAATGAAAAGTAAGTTTTTAGAAAATTTTATTTGGCGCACACTTTGGATAACATCCTGGTTATGAACTTATGCAGTACTTAGCACAATGCTGCTCAGCTGCTGCAGCGAGGCATCGACAAATCATATCTTGTCACGTTTACACGTACTAACACGCAGTCAGCCAAGCGTGCCTGACTTGCTGTTGGAGACACGCGTCGCGGCGCCACACACTTACAACAGACAGGAACAAACGTGTACAAATTTTGTTAGCGGGCTTAAAGTTAGCGGAACTAAATTTAGCGGAAGCTAATTGGTCCGCTAATGGTTTTCAAAGTTAGCGAAAACGCTTATCCGCAAACGAGAAAGTTAGCTTCGCTAATTAGCGGTTAGCGGATCTGTGCCCATCACTGGGGATTGGCATTTTGACCGTGCACTAATTTGGTTAAATCTAGAAATATACATGGAATTTGTTAGGTATCACCCAGAAACAAACCACGGAGTTAGCTTTTGTTAATTTGCAGGAGACGTACGTGCTGCTTTTACACTATAGTACAGTACTGTGTTCCTTATCTTCCACCAGATCAGTATTCTATCTAGTAAAAAGATCAGTATTCTATCTAGTAAAATTGTTTTAAGTTGAAATTCACTTTTGTTTGTCATGTAACCATGTCACAATACAGTTCATATCAAATTGGAAGAGTGCTACTTTTTATATCAATACAGGTGTGCATATGTCGAGGATGTAATTTGTAATTCAGTAGCTAATCAATGCATATTTTATTTCAGGGGAAGCTTAAGTGTAGTGACCTACGTAGCAAGAAGAAGGAGGAGCTCTTGAAGCAGCTGGAGGAGCTCAAACAAGAGCTCTCCGGTCTGCGTGTGGCAAAGGTCACAGGTGGAGCTGCCTCTAAACTGTCCAAAATGTAAGAGCGATAATGGTAATACTTTAGTTGTTTGCTTCAGGTGTACTAATGGTGTAAGTACAAATTCATTCTTAGGTCACATTTTTGTTCCATTATGGAAAAATTTTTTTATGTAGAAGTAAGGATAAATATTTTGATGCTGTAGCCAGAGACAGGAGTTTTTACCAGTGTTTGCTGCAGTACAGATGTATCCTCCTTTCCATGTACTGTATCTTATCAGTACAGTCCATTACTGTATAGCATGCCCAGACAATTTGCGGACCTCGATTATTTGCGGATGACACCCTGGACAGGGAGCCATTCATTCTATGAGACAGTAATCTCTCTTACCTGTTTTGTATGTGTGTAGACACACACATACAAAAAATAATAATGAGAAAATCCTCTCACAAATGATCAGAAACAAGACAACAAAATGTATTAAAACTGTGATAGTTTACCCTCAAGTCAACTCCTTGCTTTGTTATTAAAGAGCACGGAGTTGACCGAGGGTAGACTCACATTTTTAATGCATTTTGTTGTCTTGTTTCTGATCATTTGTGAGAGGATTTTCCCACTTTATTTGTACGTGTAAAAGAAATAATTGTCGTAAGTGAATATACTGTACATTTCTTTGCACACAAGTAAATATTCCTCCCCCCCCCCCTGCGAATTTTAAGGGTGTGCTGTATATCATTTTTTTTTCAAAGGTAATGTTTAATTCAAAATTTTATTGTTTAATACTATTGTTGGATTTTATAGATTTCATTTTCAGCCTGCTGTTTTATATAAAACCCAAGATAAAATGTTCAATATAAATTTGCCAATCAGATGATTGTGGCTAATACACAAGTGGAAAATTACATTCATAACCATTTGTAACCATATGATAGAGTATTGTTGTGTGTGTTTGTAAACTGTAGATATTTGAGGCTGAAAATTATTGCATGAGTAATGATACAATTGGTGAAAGTATTATCTTTTAGTGGATAAATCATTCTAGTTTAATCTTGGTGGTGAGGCAAGTTTGTGCCTTATAATATATTTGACAGCAGTTTTGTTTACAGGGAAACTATTGATAAATTATTAATTTAACATGATGAGAATATACTTTCCAGAAATCCTATGATGGCTATGATCGATAGGACTGAAATAAGTAATTGTGTAGCTTAGGTGTATGTAATATTGTACTTGTCGTAAAGTGCTTTTATTATTTCAGCCGTGTTGTACGCAAATCAATTGCCCGTGTAATGATTGTCATCAACCAGAAGACAAAAGAGAACTTAAGGAAATTTTATAAGGTAAGCTCTTTCTGTAACTTAGTACAGTACACAGTACTGTATTAATAAGTATAACATGTCTTGAGTTTTATTACTAGTGTGTGCCAGTGCAAAAAAAAAGTTTATGAAGGGGAGGAGAAAATAGATGTTCTGTAGTACAAAAAATTAGGCAGAACAAAGAACACATAAGGTCATTTACTGTATTTTTTTTCTCCCTTGCCAAATAGTAATGATTTTGATCGTGAGAATGCACTCCTAAAGGGGACCCATGCTGATGAGATATTGCTACTTATGGCTGTACAGCATGTAAATAAATCTAACTTGCTGATACGTTTTATCTCGAAATGCAACAGTTTGACATAAGATCTTGAGTACTGTGGTCCAGATTTCTTCGTTTATTAAACATTAATTGGGAAGTACTTCACAAAACCAATCTTCTGTTAAATTTTATTTTCCTCCAAGTTAGCAGCAGTAATTAGTTATTTCTTGTTTGTGTTTTAAATTCATGTACCTCCAAAGTATAAAAACCCTAAAAATAAAGTTAATTAACCTTGTTCTGTACTTGCCAGCTTTGAGTACAGTAAGGTCTGGATATATCGCGAGATAGGGTCCAAGGATGTTCGCTATATACTAAATCGGCATATATATATAATTACATGTAATCAATGAGGAAAATAGGGTCAGGTTCTGGAGGCCAATAAAAGTGACTAAACTTGACATAAAATGGCTCGGTCTAAAGTTAGCAGAATATAAATTGCATTGCTGGAATCCTTGCAAGACAACGAATAATTGGAATATATACATTGTATATTTTGCACAAGAGATAACAATTTTAGGCCTTTGTACTAAAATGTACTAATTAGTTCTAAAAATTTTGTCTATTGCAAACTATAGCATGTTTATCTTCAAATTAATCACTATCTTACAAGAATTCCAGCAATGTTAATTATGTTCTCTTAAGTCAATTCATTGACATTTTATAAGAGAAAACATAAAGCTTCGGCCCAGCTGTCATAATAAATCTACTCCCCTCCGACTTCTAGTAAGAATGACTGTGGTTTCTAGGCTTAAAGTTTTGATCTTATAAAATGTCAGACTAAAGTTAGCAGAATATAAATGGCATTGCTGGAATCCATGCAAGACAGCAAATAATTTGAATATAGACATATATATTGCACAAGAGAACAAAAAATTTCAACTCATATTTTTGGGGCTTTTTAGGAGTGTTTCTGACTTTATAGGGTTTTTGGCTTTATGTGAGGTCCCAGGAGCATAACTCCATGTAAGTTTTGAGTCTACTATAAATAAATTTATTGCTATACAATATATTGGAAAATTTTGATAATTTTGGTGGTAGTGATAAATTTGAAACATTTCCTGCCCAATTTCCCTCGCGAAATAAAAATAAATATCGCTATACTGTATAGGAAAATTTTGATAATTTTGGTAGCCGCGATATAAAAAAAATCTATATAAAGTTACTATATATCCCGACCCTACTGTATTCTGGATTGCATAGTATGATGCAGAGGTTGTGGTAAGGGTGGAGTTATCTAAGCATGGCCCAAAACACAATATGGTAAATATTGAGATCTAGGTGATACTTATTTTACTTGTAGCACCTAAATTTTGCATTCACATAAAGTATGGAATATATTTTCAGTTAAAGTATGGTGGAGCAAAATTTTGGGGGGGTCATTATTAGTATTTTAACTTCACAAATTCAAAATTGCTGTTAGAAATGACCATGGAAGATTACTGTCCTTGGCAGGTGTTGCAGGCTTTTGACATATGGGCTGTCATTTCACAAGTGCAGTTTTCAGTTGAAAGATTGCTGTGTAGAAGCAGTTTACATTCTTCAATGCAGTAATTTGTTAAGCAGTAGTTATTCGATCAATCCATTAGAGTACCGTCCTCATATCTGAGGGTTGGCGACCAGTCTTCCACTCTAAACGTTATTGAGTAATATTTAATACATGTGTATTGTGAAAACATTCACTGTTTTTCCCAAAATATTTAAGAGCATAAAAACTTGTTTAAGTTTGCATACAAGAGCCATTAAACTATTGTATGTATGAAGGATGATACTAGCCAAGGTAATGCAACATTCTTGGGTTATGATTTTTTCTTCCAAAAATGGTTTAATGCCGGTTTCAGAGTTTTCTATATTCTGTACTGGTGTCAACAACTCACTGGGTGCTGTTTGTGTATGCATATTTAGTTTTTATTATTATTATACCTGCCCCTTCACAAATAAGGAACACTTCAGTAACTTGAGAGAATATAAAAAAGGTTGTAATTACAATATGATCACAAGTTTATGAAAGTTTTAGCATAGATAGAATATTGTGCTTTTCAATCTGAAACATGTACATATTTAGGGAAAGCATAGTATTGATTATGATGATCCTGAGGCCCACCAACTAAAGAGTTTGGTAGTGTATAGTGGTGTTGCCCTGCAAGTACAGTATAACAAAACAAAATTCTGCTTAAAGGCCAAGACACTAGTATGAACCAAGGAATCAAATATGATGAAACATTAAAAATGCTGCTGAATAAACCGTGTTGGTTTGGATCGATAGGACTGAATTCAATTAACGTGTAGTTTGTGCTGTTTGTATTTATTATGTTGCTAACTCCTTTAATTGATTTTTTTTAAGAATAAGAAATACAAGCCTTTGGATCTCCGCCCAAAGAAGACTCGTGCCATCAGACGTGCACTAAGCAAGAGGGAGCTTCAAATTCTTACTCCTAAGGATTCTAAGAGGAGGTGGAATTTCCCTATGAGGAAGTATGCTGTTAAGGCTTAAATAAAATATGACAATAGTATAACCTATTTTTTATATGCTCCTGATAAATGTAATAAACAACATACAGTAGGTCAAAATTAGGTTCTCCATATGAATTAATGTAAGTATACGTTCCTCTCTGATGGTAGCAGTGTTCTCATACATTACCGTATTAATGAGCACAATATTATCATCGTAATGTAACGTACTAATTAATGAATAACAAATAATGTACTGTACGATATTTTATATACTGTAAATGGCAGTCATAGAAAAGATGGTGATATGCAGTGGGAGGGAGGGGAAAAGGGTGGACATCATACAAAGGAGTAGTTTTTAATATTTAATAACTAATATAATTATAAAGACAATAAATCCTAACCGCTAACCCTACACCAGTGTCCTAGCTAAACATATAAATATCCTAACTATATACTGTACAAACTAAAATATGGGGGACAAGATCAAAGAGGAGCCAGAGAAAAACTTAACCATTTACTCTCTGGCGAATGTTATGGTACGACGGATGATTAAGGCAGTCACTTGAAGCGCGGGAACCCGGGGAAGGTAGAGGTCCTTAGGGGAAGCCACTGTTCCAGGACAGAGGACGAGAGTGAACTGAGGTTTAAGGCGAGATACAGGTCCCTCATCACCTTGGTGGTTCATGGGAGAGGCTAGGGAAACGTGGAAGTGTTGTTACTGAGGCTTCCGACTCTTGCTCACGATATGATATACAGTAATGATGATACCCGAGTAAATAAATTCAGTTCTAATCAAGTTTGATTTTTTTTTTTTTTTTTTTACCTAAATAATTATGAATGAAGCTGTAGAACTTTCCAGTCTTCACGGGAAAATTTTCCCGAGTCTAGACGCATGGAGCTGTATTTATTTATGACAAACTACTGTACGCTTACAATATACAGTATTGTTACTACGGTACTGCAAACAACATAATGTATACCACTACTATATTGTATACAGTATACTGTACTCACCAGCAGATGCTGAACCTAGAGGAGGATGACACTTCACTCAGCTGAATTTAATATGTAACTAATCACTACTTAATACTTGTGACTGAGGTGGGGTAGGGGTTTAGTGGGTCTTGTTACTGATCTGATGCAGTGTCAGGTCACCCATTGTTGGGGTGGGTGAATAGTGGATCTCATGACCTGAAGATGTGTTGAATAAAGACGAAAGCTATCGTGCTCCAGTGTTTCCCTTTTACCGTTAACTAATCATTTTTTATGTTCTTCACACTGCTTTAACACTAATCTTGACTGATTATGCTCTGGTACAGTAGTGTACAGCACTGCACAACACAAATTGTATGCAAAACAGCAGATAGCAAGGGAACAATCTTCCACAATGGTAGCAGAATATGAACCAAGCAATCCAAGCAGCTAAGCCACCCACGGGCCGGGCACTAGGATTGCGTTGGAGCATGATGCAATCTCCCGGAACTCCCTGAAAATTTATTCCCAGACCCAGAACGGAGAGAATTTTTCCAGAAAAATTTCTAGCCAATTTCAATTCCAGGAATTGGAGAGTTCTGGCTAATGTAGATATTACTACTTCTAATATAATTACAATCCATGAATCACATCACAGGACATTACCATTAAAATAATTCTCTGCCATTCTACTTACATACTGCCTTATCATGCATACAGTACTTAACAATATAAAATTCAAAAGTATTAACATTTTTTAACTTATTCTACAGTTGCATTGTATAAAGTAACTTTAGTATTAAAATTTATCATTCACATACTTTCAACACTCTTTCAACCAGTAAATAAACACCCAATAATAAAAATATCTTGAAAAAATTTTTTGCTCATCTGTTTTTACATACAGTACTATTAGATAGATGAATGTAATCACCTTCACTGTAAGGCATTCACCCTTGGGATCTGACAAGTTATAATGTTTAGCTTTGTAAAAAAAAAAAAAAAAATTATACAGGACAAAATCTGTATAGGAATGAAACAGGTCTTTCCCCAAACAGTTACACACTACATGTCCTTGTGGGTATAATGAATAAAAAATTTAATTTATGCAATTTGGGTGACTTTCAACCACTGTAAACTGGTATTGCATGGGTCCTACAATAAACAGTAGTTCAAAATATACCTTTTTAGGTTGACAGATCTTTATCCCCATAAATCCTTAGAGGGGCCAAAATAAAAGTTTGTTGGGTGACTGGATTAAAGTACAGTACTGTACTAGCCAGCCAAATTGCGCATTAATTGGCCTTCAGCTGTAGGACGGAGAGTTTTATCTCCCATAATTTTTAATTGCTGATGGACTAGCTTAATTATAACCTTGCTACATGCTTAAGACCTTAGTTATTGAAGAACAGTAATAACATTATATTGTAAACTAAAGGAGTAACAATTAAATATTAAAAGTTTGAAAAAAGAAAAGAAAAATAATGTCTCCTCCCATTATAGGAGCAATAATTGGACAAATATAAGAAACTAGTGACTGTACCTATCCTTAAAAGAGCCTACTTTTTAGTTACTCTTACTGCCAACCCTAACCTGGTCCTGCTGTACAACAATTTGAGACCATGTGCTATGTTGTCTAGCTATACTGTACTCCTTGTTCTACCCATATGGAAACTGACTGATCAGTACTTAAATGCAAAACCCTCCAATTGTGACCCCCTTAAAACCCTCCCTGGGGGCTGCCATCCCACATATGATGATGGCAAGAGTCAAAACTGTGGGAGTATTTTAAGTGTAGACCTAAACAGATGAATAATAATAAATATTCAATCAACTTGATAGCTGACAAAGCCATGAGAGACTTGTTTACAGTTGTCCTTATGCCAGCAGCATCTGGTGTTCTTAGGACCAGGCAGTCACCCATCCAAGTACTAACCAGACTCAACGTTGCTTAACTTCGCTGATTGGACGAGAAGTGGTGTTTCCAATGTGGTACTATCCATAAACAGACACTCAGACAAATTATATCAAAAGTTTCACAGGAAATTTAAATTAATATTCTTCAAAGTTTAAAATATAAATTATCAACTCAAACACAAAAGGCACTGTAAATGTAATAGGAATTTTTTTCAGGTGGAATGAATAATGCTGAAAAAAAAGATAAAAATGTACCTTCATTTACAGTAACAGTTAAAATATGTGCAATGTCAGAGGTGGTGCAGATCACAATTCTTGGTAAGTTTTGCAAGAAATTTTTTTACAATAGCTTGTCAATGCACTTTACTACCAGAATTAATATTTAAAACAATTAAATCTAAGATGAATTATTTACCTTCTAACAATCTCCACAACCAAATGCCTCCCACTATGTGAATATATCTGTATTTAGGTAATTCTTAATATTACCCCTCAACATCCTTCCTCCTAACCTAGTTGACAACATGCCATTGACAGTAACAGTACAAGTAGTGGACGTGCTCCATAGTTTTCAATATATTTAATATATTTATCATATTTTAATGAATGTTTTGACACATGCACTGAAAGCATAAACCTACAATTTATTTGGAATACAAGAAAAATATATAAGTTTATCATGGTACACATCGAGGCACTAAGAAGGCTGTATATAACCCTGTTTAATCCATACCTCCTACTGAACTGTGGCTTCCATATTGTACACTGGGCATCACACTGAAAACAAAAGAAATCCATTACTTGTCTAAAAGTAAAATGGTTTTCCAAAGATCTAGCCAATTTAGCCAATCACACACACAAGGAAATCAAACCATGTAGTTCCTAAAGTCACACTTTATCAAGGTTACTGTATAGTTTTGACCAAGCCATTCTCTATCACAGAAATCCTAGTGGCTCTGTCACTGTAGAGGATATTACAGGAAAGACAAAATAGTTATATAATCAATTAAAATGCACAAAATATTTATCTTCAAAGAAGAATGCTAAGTAATGAAAATTATAAGATTCAAAAGCCTGAATGGATTTTCATCAAATCTCAGAATATGATCATATCATCTCACTACAGTTAATAAAATCTAATTATTATTAAATATATTATATCACTGGCAGGAAGCAACAGCAGTTAAGAAAAACAGTAAATGAGCTCTGTACAGTTGTAAGCTGAAAGTAAATTCTGGAAAGAGTAAGATGTTTTTATTTAATCAGTTTTGTGCCATATACTGTACAATAACCAAATAGTGTACAATTGGGTCGGGATATAACGCGACTTTATATAAAAAAAAAATTTTCATTGCGGCTACCAAAATTATCGACATTTTCAAATATAGTATAGCGATAATTTTTTTTATTTCATGAGGGAAATCGGGCAGGAAATATATCAAATGTACTGCCATGGCAAACAAATGCATTATTTGCTCACCAGAGGCGCCACCGTAGCTGCTCACTCACTCATTCACGCTCGCCCGCTCAGTCTTTCTGAGTGAGTGACAAGAAAGCAGCCGACTTTGCTGCAAATTATGACTTCTAAGGTGAGTGTACACGTAAATGGGTTGCTAGTGACGTGAAAAGTGAAGTGAAGATAATGAAAAGATTTAATAATGTAACTAATATTTTTTGTTTGTTTGTTTTTTATTGTTAAGTGAGGGTGGCGCATCAGCTGCCGATTCTGCTGCAGATTCCAATTTCTAAAGCGAGTGTAAATGGGTTACTAGTGACATGAAAAGTGAAGTGAAGATAATGGAAAGCTTAATGGAAAAAATTTAATACTGTAACTAATATTTTTGCTGTTCGTTTATGTAGGTGTGGGATTGTCAAGTGAGGGTGGCAGTGTGGCGTCTACTATCCCATCTGGTGTTCCTCAATATTGATACTGACATTGAAATAGCCTGTTGTTCCCGAGTCTAGTGTTCATTGGTGCTTTAGTTAGTAAGAAAATGAACTCGCCAAGTCAAGTTTAGTCACTTTTTTGGCCTCCAGAACCTGACCCTATTTTCCCCATTGATTACATGTAATTATATATCGCGATTTAGTATATAGCGAACATCCTTGGACCCTATCTCGTGATATTTCCCGACCCTACTGTACTGTATAGTACCCCTGTATTATGAAATGTAAGAGAAGGATGGATAATTAAGTACAGGTACTGGCTAAATAGATAAATATTTGTGGAGGTGGAGAAGGGAGACTCACACCTCTGTACACACGACATTAACGCAAAAGCCAATCAGCGTTCATCTTTTTTACAGGAAATGTACATCAATGTTACATTAAACTGTAAGATATGAAGCTGCACGCCCTACAATATTTTATCCTTACCCAATATCCTTCATGGTACAGAAAATTTATGAAATTATTACTACAATATTTGGTAGAATACAGTATATTATGTTTTGAGAATGTGTCAAAGAACAAAACTGCTGTAACTAAAATAGGCAAGTATTAAATGGAGATTTTTCACCCTACACATTCATACATGTTTGCGGTAACTTCTATTAATTCTGTTGAACACAAATCACTTCTATGGAGTTTGTAGCATCATTACCTCGTTTCCTCAAATTCTGAAATACATTGACAAACGGTGTTGCTTACCATCATAATGCGAGGCGTTGATTAAAGCAAGGGTAAACTCGCCACCCAAGCAAAAATGTGATTTTTGTATTATTCATTTTGTTCTACTATGACGAGTTCGCCTTTGGTTTACTGGCAAAATCCCATTGAATCATAGTCGAACTCACCAGTGGCCCGACGACCAATCATAACCTGCCTTACTCCCTGAGCTAATCAGCATGTCGGGAAGTAGTGTGCCGACCAATGAGAAGCCCGCTACTTTCTACTTTTGGCGTCCAGGGGGAGGAAGATGTATCTGATGACGATCAGATAGACTACTAGCCACCTACTCTACCGCCCATGCTACCAAGTTCTTTAGTAGAGCATAATCATCATCTAGAGCGAGTGTTACCATTATTTATTGTTTTTTTTTTACTTTATTAAAAAAAAAATTGTTGTTTTGTGTACAGAACTTTATTACTTCATTATTTTCATGAATGTTAATTTCACACCATATAATTATTTGACAATTGGCACCAAAATCATACATCACACTTCATTTAATGCAAGGATCATATTCTGCATTAAATTGCCTTTAAAATGAGACCTCATTGAACAGAATTCATGAATTTTTGGAGATTCTATGAAGGTTTGAATATGTGCAAACTTTAAATCTCATTCTCTCGAAACTTGGTTTTGTTGCGTTCATCATTGCATTAATCAATGCCTTTTATGTTCTTAACATTTACAGAGCTCTCAGGATCAAGATGGAGAACTGTATATACTTAACAGCATCATGTAAAAGAATTTAATAAGATGGAAATTTGTCAAGAAAACTGTAAATTACAATATACCTGTAAATATCATGCAACCACAGTATGAACTTTGAACTTTGAATAACTAACTGTGCAGATTATTACTGGATCCCATAATTACTGTTTATTTAGGATGACCACCTGCGCTATGTGAAACATTAAACAACATTTTAGGAAATAATTTAAGATATTTACTTGATAATCAGCAATACAAAAGCTTTTTAATGTAATTGTTAAAAAAAAAGCTGTTTACCAGTGGCTATAGTATTACCTGCTTGGCATTAACCTCACCTTTGACCTGAATCTCGTTATGTTGACCATTACGAAGTGATTGTGTATGGCTCGAGGAATTAACAGTAGTACCATTTACGGATAATTTTTCCAAGACACCATTTACTTCATTCTGTAAATTTAAAAATTTTCAGTATAGTTTTAATCTTTTATTGCTACACTAACATTAATATATACTGTACGTATAAGCAAGTTTTATACTATGGAACAGACCCTAAATCACTGAACTTTGTTTTGTATAAAATTTGAAGAAAATCTTTAATTTATTTCATGTATATGTACAACTATAATAATACAGGCAGACCCCAATTTACATGTTATTTATATGTGTGTTATTGATGTTTACATTCTTACAATTTTCAGTTTTAATGTTACAGCAAATGGTTAAAAGAGGAACATAAAACATGTATCGCATACACTTACTTTATCTTGATACTATATTACTATAGAACTCAGGGCATGGCTCTCTTGGGTTCTGTTAACCCAACCCCTTATTTCCCATAGTGCCAAGCCCTTTCCAACCATGAGGTTTTTCAGGAACCTCATCTTCATGGTTGGAGAGGAAGACTGTACCAATTATTTAAAACACATTAATTTCCATTTCCTAGAGAAAATGGTTTTGTGCCCAAAGATAAAAAAAATTTTAACCTTGAAAATTTACAGTTTGTTCAAAATCTCAATACACCTGTACAGATACTACTGAAAATGCTGATTAAGGACCTGTGGTTAAAAATTTTATATTTGGATAATTACTTGTCTTAATGACTTTTGGAAAAGTTGAACCCTTAGATGCCTATTACTATGTTTTGGCAGTACCCAATGATTACCCCAGGTTCTGCATTCTTTATTTGTGTCATACATCTAAACTTCTCACTGTCTGTGTTCACCCCCCTGAGGCTATAAGGGCTACCATATTTGTTTAGAATATTTTAGGGATGCACCAGAACTTAGTTCCGGCCAGTTAATTCCAGCCGGAACCTCGATTTTTATTAAGTTCTGGTTTTGGCCAGAACTTAGTAAAATAACCGGCTGTGAGATCATTCAAGGCCAGACTTGACCAACACAGGAGCAGGTTCTGATATACTGTACTCAGAAGCCAGTGCATGCCCAGTATCTGCCAACAGTATGTATCAGAGACGTGACCGACCGCCCAAGCAGCTAACGAGCCGATCAGTGGCGAAGAGGATAAAAGTAAAAGTAACTAGAACTTTTGATAGTGGAACTGATTACAGTTTCATATATCAAAATATAATTTACTGTTAATGCTATTTCTAATGGCTAATGCAGCATAAAAAATACTGAATGGTTCATGAATATTGATGTAGAATATATGTAGCAAAAAAATTATTACACCTTAAATCATATTCATTGTACTCTACATGAAACCTGATGCATTCTATATATAGAAAATAAAATAAAAATATGGATACAGGGTACTTATATATAATTATATATTTCTGATGACTACTGTGAAGAAAGGACAGACAACACTAAACCTGAGAAACACAATGTCAAGGACTCAGGGCACACCACAGAGCCAGTTGCAGTTATTCAAGGTTCTTTAAAAACTTGTCTCTTCTGTGTGTATTTATAAATAAGGAGAACTAAATGTAGAACTTAACATAATTTAAAAAATACCACATGCAGTGAAGGGATCAGTAATAATATAAGGTTGTATGTTATCAAACAAGCAAGTGTGATTCACCTCTCAACAACACTGTAGCCCTGTGTTTGGGAACCATTGCATTAAGTAAACAATACCTAAACATTCATATTAATAGCTTTTAGTTTGACAAATGTCTTTAAAAAAATTAACATAGACCATAATATCATACAGTACTAGGATTTCTGAATGTCATGTATACTTTAAAACAACTTGAACAAAATGTTAATACTGTACTGTAGATATAACACCCTAAGTTCCGGTTCTGGCAGAAACTTGATACAGCTACAGTATTATGTTTCCGGTGCATTCCTAAATATATTTCCTTATACAGTAATTATGTTTCATGGTCATTCAAATGGCATATAACTATTACAGGTATCCCTTGCTATACGAACATTTGAGGTACGAAAATTTAGTTATACGAATTTCCTAAATTACTGCCACTTTTTCACGTTATAAAAACTTTCCCCGCTTGTACGAATTTGGGTCCCGGCAAAAAATTCAAATTGCAAGCCCCCCCCTCCTCCCCCCAGGAGTCAGCTGGGATGGCCACATCCCCCTTGCCCTCTCCTTACCAGACCAAGGTGTGAGTTGTTATGTTTTTTTCAACTTGTAATTTCAGGTAGATAAATATAGATTTTTTTTTCCATTCAGTTACATGCACATATTCCTACATAGAGAATATGCAGAAAATAGATAAAAAAAAAATATATATAAAATACCATAAGGCAAGCAACGCAACAAAGGGAATAAATATTCTTTGTGTACCAGCAAGAGTTAGGAGGATGAGCTGGGGGAGCCATGTTAGGGTTATTTTTCAACTTATAATTTTAGGTACAGTATATAAATTTAACCTCTTCACTTATTTTTTACTCCGTTACATGCACACACAACCCCACATACGTAATGAGGAAAAAAGGTAAAAGAAATGGCTATCATAAGTTCAAAAACAGAGGGAATAAACATTTCTTTGAATGCGAGAGCAGGAGGGGGAACGTTGTTTAGGGTCGTCAGAGGCAGCATCCCCAGCTGGGCTGCGTTGCTATGGTGAGACAAGCTAGCATCTAAACAAATGGCAGTTGTGTTAAACTTTCATTTAGCTTTTCCTAAATGGTTATACTGTAGCTGCATATTCTCATTGAGAAAGTAATATTTGATTAATGTTTTAATTTGTTAGGTACCTGTAGTAAATTACAGTCGCTGTGTACAGTACTTTTCATCATTAGTTGTGTAGGTTTTTGTTGTTCGTGAACTAATTTCATGTGTTTAGAGTTTTCTTGTCAGTGGGGAACTGAACCCCATTTTTCACACATGTTCTTTTATTCGCTATACGAAAATTCACTTAATGAATGGTTTTTCAGGAGCCTAACCCATTTGTATAGAAAGGGATACCTGTATTCTATTTACTGTACTGTATTCTGATCATGATTCTTACCAACAACAATCAACCATAATTTTTGTCTGAAAATGTACTACTGCACTAATTATATTTAGGAAGATAATTATTATGCCTAGAATACTTGTACTGTATTTGTTTTGCATGAAATGGAAGTCATTATCATAAATGAATATTGCAGAATTATCCCCAGGAGACACATTGAGCAAAGTCCAAGGGTTAAACAAATGTGGCAACAGTCAGGCTCTCCTGGAGGGTGTTGAGCAGTTTACATGTCACAACCCACTTTGTCTCCATGGTCATAAAATGAGTTCCCTATTCTTTTTTTCCCAAATGAGTTTTGGGGGAGGGACAACAAAAATATAAACTCATACCTCAGCTTTCTCCATTTCCAACATGACACTGTCTAGTTTCTTTACTAATTCTTTGGCATCTTCAACACTAAACACAATGGGAGGTTTGAATTTGAGAACATTTGCATAAGGGCCATCACAGCTCAACAACACACACTGCTCCTTTAACCTGTACGAAAAAAAAGGTTTGAATGAGCATAATTCACTTAACATTATGAAACAATTTCCTGAAGTAATGATGCACAAAGGAATTAATTATTTACCTCTTAACTGAAAAAAGGAGGAATCACATTCTGTACGTGAGTAAATACTGCATGTGTTTCTGTTATGTATTTTTAGGTATTGTACACCTAAGATTCACTATGTATCTGAAAGCATCTGATTTTTCTATTTCCTATAGCATGGTTACATATACACATATTACTTTCAAATTATTGCTTTAAATCTATTTTTCACTCTTTCAAGCCTCTTGGTATATAGCAAGAAGCCTCATTTATCCATCTGGTTCAACCTTGTCACTTCACGGAAGCCAGCATCACCCACCAGCAATATTCATCCTTATCCAAAAATTCCTCAACACAATGTCCTTTAATCACATATGCACACAGTTGCTTCCTGGATGTCCAACCACTTTATTTCTGGTATACCCTTTACCCAATCCTTTCGTCTCCTAGGTCTTCACCAGTCCCTTCTAGTACAGTATATACTCTTTCAAACTCAACATTAATAACTTTTTTTATAGAATTACCCATGAGAAAGAATCCTCTGCAAACAGCAGCTCACACACACTTCCTATATCATCACAGCATTTTCTAAATTACTCCCCACCACATCACTCTTGCAACCTACGTATAATATTCAATGCTACAGCATTCTGAATGGCCAATACAAACATTACTATGTTTTACAGAGGTTGAAGAGTGAGGTGGAAATTATTTAAAAACAGTGGTCAAGGGTCCTGATTGAGACATTCTGACACTGTTAAACAACAATTCTGACTACAGTATATTAAACTGATCCGTATCATTCAATTTCATTTTAAATGTTGTTGAGCCCAGTACAGTACAAGATCTGTTATAGGGGTAACTAGTAACATTCACATGATTCTGACAAACAGTACTGTAGATGCATCCATAATCCTTAAACAGTACCAATACCGTACCAAGAAACTTATGAATTAAGAAATCAGCTGATTTTATAAGGAATTTAACATACTTCCAATATATAGTTCTCTGAAACATCCCAAACTACTTTGATCTTATGCAACAACTGGTAAACTTCAAAGTATGCTTGTCATAATTTCTGTCAATATTTTTCTAATCCCCACTGAATAACAACTACAACCAGAAATGTAGACTAAACTATGATTATTCACTCTTGTGTTGATGTGGGTAGGTGGAAGCTGTGTATACAGCACCATGCATACCTTGTTATGGGTTTTGTACTTGATATTTTTAAGCATTGGTTAACCAAGAAAAGAATACCATCAGTACATCCATTATTCTAGTTTGATGGTTATACAGTACATGTGTCATCTTGCACAGTGAAGACACTCTTCCCACGGTCCTGTCTGAAATCTTGCGCCATCCAATGCTTGAAGCTAAGAAATTTTTGCAAAACAATTGTAGTCTTTTCTAGATCTCCTAAACTTCATTATTTTGTATTACCATTATCAAGTTTAAGTATCACCTTAAGTAAAACAGCGATGAGTAAAATTTCTGGTTTCAAGCTGCAGCTTAGCAGAAGTGTAAGTCTAAACATCAATACATTAAATTTGCTCTGAAGCATTTGTAAAATATTAAAAAGTAATGATTTATAAACATGGGAAAAGAATTAAATACTGTAGACAAACTTTAAAGAAAGACTAGATGTGCAGTTGAATTTGGAAATTCCCTTTCACTTAAAGAGTGCAATTGCATCTTCTCTAGGTAAATTACACACTGAATTTATCACATACTTACCTCTTGTTAATGAATGCAGCCTCAGCAGTAGCTGGCTCTCGTGTTTCTCTGTTTCTGACCAGATCTAATCCCAGGAACATTCCTCGACCCCGAACATCGCCTAAGTTATAAAAGAACAAATTTTATTTACTAAGATTTTATTAATATTCCAATATTGTATATTATAATTCAGTGCTATTTAAGACGATACGGTGTTGCAGGAAAACCATAGGTGAATTTTTATTTCAAAGCTGTCTGGAGGTCAAAGTTGCTGACCGAGAAAGTTCCTTACCGATGATGGTATGTTTCTGCTTTAGGCAATTAAACTCTTGTAACAGATAATTGCCAACATTAGTTGCATTTTCCATAAGTTTTTCATTTTCAATGACATCAAGAACTGCATCAGCAATTGCAGTAGACACTGGATTACCACCAAATGTGTTGAAGTATTCCATTCCTGTTGCTCCAAACCTCTCAGCAATTTTCCTACCAATACAGTATATATCAGAATATACATATTATCTTAGGATACACATTTATACACTATTTCTATATGATACCAGTACACTAACAACCGATGAAAACCAATCATTCTCAATGGATACAACTGCTCATGTGAACAACAATTGTTGCAATGCAGTTCTTCACCCAGTCACACCAGGCAAGTTTACCAAATACTGTACCTGAGAACCATCGAACACATGAAGTCCATATTTATATTGGCCAATAGGTTAGGGTAGTTAATGCTCCTTGTTTCCTCCATCTTCTTGTAATCACAATCCAGTACAAGAACCTGGGTCTATTCTCATCCTGTACCAAGTAACAACAAAATCCGAAGGACAATGTCAGTTGACTCGTGCTATAAGGGGCACCATCTTCAACATTTTGGGACTGAAAACTGTGTAAGTTTCTACCAAAAAAAAAAAAAAAAAAAAAAAAAAAAAAAAAAAAAAAAAAAAAAAAAAAAGGCTGCAAGGTTATTAAGGCCATTTGGTATCTCTAATTTCCCCAATCTGATATCATCATAATTAAAATCACCCATTACCAAGAGGTGGCTGAAGGTGAGTACCATTGCTTTGTCTATTCAGGATCTCATATTCCCCTGGTTCATAACAGTACTGTATATGCATTCAACAAAGAGTAACTACAGTTTGATCTGTATACAGTGATCCCTCAGTTAACGAGCGCCTTGGTTAACGAATTACTGTACCTTCCATAAGATTCTTCACTTCGGTTAACGAGCAAACCCTCGGTTAACAAATTCCTTACGAATTTTTCCCAACATGTTTTCGCCTGCTTACCAGCTGTAGTATTAGTCCGCCAATACAGTAATTGGTTTTAGGGCTTAAATTTGTTACCATTTGAGTAAATATCAAGAAGGTTGTACTATTCAATAATTTTCCAAATCTTATATTAAAGTTTTTAGTCATTTTAACAATTATTTAACATAATTGAAGTACAGGGAACTAGTTTTTAGCGCACCAAACAGCCACTCAACACACCCAAAATGGCGTCAGTGTGTGTCCCTGCTCAGAGGAGGAAGCATCTTGCTTCAGACTCTCTTGAACATAAACTATTTTTACGTTTTTACAGTACAATTATTGGTCATTCTGAAGTTTATTTTACATATTGACAATATATAATGCAGTGCAGTGTTGATTTAAAGAAAATAATCTTGAATTATACCAAGTGAACTAAAATTTTATGGGTAAATGGCGGCATAAGCATGGGGTGACTCTCTTCCACCCCAATGCCTTCTCTTCTCCCTTCTCCTCCACCCCACTTCTAATTCCCATCATCATCATCAACCAGGAGCCTTCTACATGCACACCTCAAAGTAGTGTACTTTACTGCATTTATTTTTAGTTTGTATGTAATTTTCGGTGAGCTGGAACCAATTACCCAAAATCCCATTGAAACAATGGTTTCGGTTAACGAGCAACCTTCTGGAACGAATTGTGCTTGTTAACCGAGGGACCACTGTATACATCTCAATGAATGTGTCACCTCCAATTAGTTTAACTTTATAGTAAAGCCTCGAATAACGACGGTCATGTTTCCTCCAATACAGTCATTTCTGCTATAACACGTGTTTTGTCATCGCGAATTGGCTATAACGCGATTGATGAATAGAAGAACGATATTTGTAAAACGCAAACGCGTGTTGGCTGTAACGCGATTCCACTCGAACGTTTTAAGTGTACTGTCGCTTGGCACGGGGTTATGCAGTGTTTACAGTTCACGTTCAACATCACATGTTCAATTGATTCATGTGTTTTGTTCGTGAAGTGTTATTTGATAGGGACTCTATAAATTTCATCCTTTTTTAGCTGAGCTTTCTGACAATATCAAAGTGCTCTTTCTACCTCCAAATACAACATCTCTCCTTCAACCAATGGACCAAGGAGTAATAGCAGCCTTCAAAGCCTATTATTTGAGGCGTACATTTAAGAAACTTATTGCAGCTACTGAGGAAGGAGATGATAAGACCAGTGTTCTTCAGTTTTGGAAAAGTTTCAACATCAAGCATGCAATTGACATCATTGTGGAGGCCTGGGGTGATGTAAGTAAGGACTGCTTGAATGGAGTTTGGCAGAAGCTTCTCCCAGATTTCATGATTTTAAAGGCTTTGATGCATCAGAGGAGCTCCCAAAAATAAAAGAAAATTGTGTTTCTCTTGCAAAGTAAGTTGGCTTTGCTGAAGTGGAAAGTGCTGATGTTGAGGAACTGCTCGAGTCCCACTGTGAAGACCTCTCTACAGCTTATCTACAACAACTTGTTGCTGCTGGGGAAACTGAAGATGCCGAAGATGATAAAGTACAGGATGCAAAGCCACAAGAGCTTCCCACTTCTCTTTTGTCTTCTATCCTGAGGGAAGTTGATAAGCAGTTGTAGCTCTTGGAAGACAATGACTACAATGCAGAACGGAGCAGGATTGCAGTTCATGGTGTTAAATCTTTTTTGGCACCTTGTGAACAGCTTCTTTGTGAAAGAAGAAAGATGGCAAAGCAGCAAACATTAGACATCTTTTTTAAGTCAACCCCCAAGAAGCAGTCTGAAGACACTGAAACACAGCCATCCACTTCTGGAAGGAGACGTTTTTTTCGTTTCAACCATGCAACCAAAACTGCACCTGATGATGATGATACTGATGATGACGATGACAACTCTCAACTCCTGTCTGCATGACTCCTCAACCTCAACATCACCCTTCTCCCCCATCAAGTTATATTCATATTTTTTCAAGGTAAAGTGTTACATTTACTGTATGATTTCATTATTAGATATGAATGTAACATTTATTTAGACTGTGCTATCCTTTGTGTTAGGCTAACTACTACATTTTTTCGATTTTGAGTAATCTGCACCTAACCCTATTTTCTCCATAAGCCCTGTTATTTCTATTGCGCGAATTTCTACAACGCGAGGTTTTACAAGAACACAACTATCGCGTTGTAGCAGAACTGACTGCATTGCAGTGTAAGGTGAATCATCGAATCGTGAATCATTAATTACCATTAAAATAAAGCATAATAATGAGATGCGTTCCAAAGTGTGACCTTTTCATATTTTTTTGTGGCGTTTTACCCTCTTCCCCAAAAACAATAAAATTAAAGAAAAATGCAAACTACAGTGGTCCCTCGATTAACGGACGGTCCAATTAACAAAATTTTGGTTAACGAATTAGCTCCCATAAGGATTTTCAATTCCATTAACGAACAAAACTTTGATTAACGAAAGCCTTACGAGAAACATGCTTTGTTGTACGCATCAGCTGATGGGCTAGTCCGCCAATACAGTAATTGGTTTTATGTTTACATTCGTTTCCAGTGGAGTAAATATCAAGAAAGTTATGCTCTTGAATATTTTTGCATTTTTTATATCAAAATTTTTGGTCTTTCTAATTTAGTTAACATATTGATAATATATGCAGTACGGGGAACAGTTTTTGTTTGCCAATCAGCTGATCGAATCACCCACCAACTCTTCTCAGTTTAACTCTGTTTACAGTGGAGTGAACATCCAGTTTGTTGGTCTCTTGAATATATTTGCATTTTTACAATAAAATTATTGGTGATTCTGAAATTTAGTTAATATATAGATAATATACAGTGCAGAAATTATTATGAAACCTGAAGAAGGCATTAGAACCAATGCACTCTGTAAAGAGTGCCTCTACAATCACCTGTTTGATATGTAAACAAAGCTGCCGGTAATACGACATACACACCTCAAAGTAAGTTAAAATATAGTATTCTATTGTTTTTTATTTATTATTATACAGTATACTGTACAGTACAGTACTGTATTTAGTTTACATTTAATGTTTTTGTTAATTCTATTATTGATATACAGTACTTTGTATGTACTTTTTCTGTGAGTTGGAACCAATTACCCAATATCCCATTGAAATAATAGATTTGGTTAACGAACGGCTCTGTGGAAACCAATTGTGTTCGTTAATCGAGGGCCCACTGTATATGTTTATGAATGCACCTTATACAATATAAATCAATAATAATATGGTCACACAAGAGGAGATGGGACGCCATTGTTTTCGTGAGTATTTACACCCGTGACGATGGTTCTACATAAGAAATTAAAGAAAATAAGACCCTGGTTGTAGCTGTAGTAAAATTAATGTAAAAAAAAATATAAACGTTTTAGGCAATGTTATTTAATGTTAATAAATGGAACAATGGAAGTAGCTAACCACTAATGGTAAAAACAAAAGCGAGACGGATTGGGAACGCCAACCTTTGTAACGGCGTATACTGTATGCAAAAACTTATCGTCATTTCTCTACATAAGAATATGAAAGCAACACTTATTACTGTTCATACATGTTTAAAATAATACTTATGAATGTAAAACAAAAATTCTACACACCAATGGTGGTAAAGTCTAAAACATAAGGACAGCCAATGTTATGTGAGTTTTTACTCAGATGACGAAGTCATCAGGTTCAACTCTGGCTGAAGCTGTAGCTTTCCATAAAGATATAAATAGCTGTTACTGAACCTGAAGTTGTTGCTGAAGCTGCAAATGATGCTGAATTTGATGGTGTAGCTGAAGTTAATGGTTTAAGCCTTCGAATAATAAAGTCTGTCGAAAGAACCTGGCACAACTGCTTTCTTTTCTCATTATACATCTTTACATAGAGTTCATATGCGTTTTTCACATCCCTGTTAATTTTAATGCTTCGTTCTGTTAATGGATTCCACTTCAGAAAATATGTTCATTGTTTGCTCCATATAATATCCACAGACCTCTCACCTTTTTCATATCGTTTTAACACATCTAGTTTCTCGGCTAGGCTTATACACTTTCTTTTAGCTTTTGAACCTTTTCTCCTTTTCCTGTTCAGATGCGTGAAAACAATAGGCCTGCCAAGTTGCGACTGTTTATACTATTGATGATGGCATCACCACTCACAAGCCCGACAGCCTCCGTGTGCAAGGTGTGTTTTTTTATTTGTATAATACATATCAGGATTTAGTTATTATTTATATATAAATGTAATTTTATTTTATTTTTTATTCTATTTCTGTTGTAAATACAAAGAAAATAATGGTGTAATTTGAATTAGGTCCTAAATTAACCAGGGTCTTAAATGTGAATCGTCGTTAGTAGAACCGTCGTTATCGGAGGCTTTCCTGTACACCATTCCGACTCTCCAAATCTTCTTTGCCTTGCACCCTAACCTGACTGGTTCTATGCTCCTCTCTAGAACAGATAACCACACCCTTGGACAGGTTCATATACTACTCAATGCAACTTCAACACATGTAACAACATACTGAAAGTGGTCAGAGTGAAAGCATGACCCAAGCAGCACCATAATACCTCACAAAACCACAACACTACTCTCATTCGTCTCATGAAACCAAAATCCCCACTCCCCACACAAAAAAAAACAACTAATTTTGAAAAACTGCAGCTTAAAAAAAAAAAAATACTTAAAAACAAACATATTATCCTAGCTAAATTTGATATGTACTGTACATAGTACATGCATATTTTAGTTTGATTAAAAAAATTTGCATTTCAGGTAGGGCAGTGTTTGTATTAGGTTTGTGTTCAACAGGATATATTCAGTTGTCATATATTTCAACCAATTTTAGGGACCAAGCTACTTTGTGTGAGGTGTTGGGAGTTATTGTGTTGGAAACAGCAGGTTGCCATGTGTTGTACTCACACAGCAGATGCTGGGTACACCTCCTCAGGCTGGTTCACTTATACAGTAAACACTCGCACTTCTGGACAATAAAGGGGGAGAGAGTGTACAGATGTAGCAAATGTCCAGAGGATGAGCCGGGGGACGATCGCAAGTTAACGATAATCATAATACTGTACCTGGACTTTACTGACATGGGTAATAACAATAATAATATAGTATTAATAATAATAGTAATAAAGGTATTAATTAACAAATCAGTAATGATAATACAGTAAAAACAACAATAATAATAATAGTTATACAGTGTTAGTGTATTACTCAATAGACAGCATTGTTGTTACGTATTACTGTATATCAATACAGGTACAGTATTATTTTAGCTTGCCTCCTTTTACTTTAAATACAGCTTGCAATCTCTAACAGTTGTCTTAGAGGTTGAAGAATCAGGACTATATTTACAGTGGGGTATGCTATAACGAATCTAATTGGTTCTAGAACCTTGTTCGTTATAGCATTTGTTCGTTATAGGATTAATCCGTTCCAGGCCCCCAAATACAACCACTTAACACTGAAAAATATAATATATAATTGTAAAAATTGTAAAAAAGTGCATAAATATGCATCTAAACCCCTGAAATAAAGAATATCATTAATATTTGTAATAAAAAAACAATAAATTAGAAAAAAAAAAAATTAAATAATGTTCGTTGTAGGAGTTTCGTTCGTTATAGCATTCTCAATATTCGTAGTAAGATCCGTTCGTTATAGCATACCCCACTGTAATTGCAAATGACTGCAGAGAACCCTTAGCCTTTTGTATATCAGACACTTTTGCTTAGTGATGCCATATTTGCTACATCTCGCTACAGACCAACCACTCTTTAACATTTCCAGCTTTTGAGCTACAGTAAGCTGCATGTGCTTCCTTTTGGGTGCCATCACTACACAAGTCACAAGGAATCAAGCACAAAAATAGTCACAAGGCACAAAATACATGAGGAACATGAGGTAGCATGATGGTATGTACACACCGCGACTACAAGTGAGACTGAGGAGGGATGCGCGCTGTGACTATTGGCAGATGTGGACTGGGTCCATTTTATCTGCGGGGGAGTAAATAAGGCATTCGGACAGAGAGAGAGAGAGAGTGAGAGAGAGAGACCGGGTAGGAATTTGCCACATCCAGATGTTGTCCGGACCCGAGAGGTCCGGAAGTACAGTGGTCCCTCGGTTAACGAGCGCCTCGGTTAACGAGTTACCTTCCATAAGATTCTTAACTTCGGTTAACGAGCAATCCCTCGATTAACGAGTTTCTTATGAGCCGACCTGAACATGTTTTCGCTTGCATTTGGCAGTCCACCAGCTGTAGTATTAGTCCGCCAATACAGTAATCGGTTCTAGGGCTTAAATTCCTTACCATTTTAGTAAATATCAAGAAGTTTATACTATTCAATAATTTTAAAAGTTTAATATTAAATTTTTTAGTCATTTTAACAATTATTGAACATAATTGAAGGTAATGAAACTAGTTTTATGAGCACCATCCAGCCTCTCAGCACACCATACAGGCGTCAGTCTTTGTGTCTTTTCAGTGGAGGTAACATCTTGCTTGAGACTCTCTTCAACTAAACGCTTTTTTTCTGTGTTTGCAAGCAAATTATTGGTCATTTTGAAATTCATTTTACATATTGACAATATATAATGCAGTGCAGTGTTGATTTAAAGAAAATAATCTTGAATTACACCAAGAGAACTAAAATTTTATGGGTGAAATGGCACCATGGGGTGCCTTCTCTTCCACCCCAATGCCTTCTCTTCTCCCTTCTCCTCCACCCCCATTCTAATTCCCATCATCATCGAGGAGCCTTCTACATACACACCTCAAAGTAAGTGTACTTTTCTACATTTTTTGTTGAATTTAGGCAACTTTCGGTGAGCTGGAACCAATTACCCAAAACCCATTGAAACAATGTTTTCGGTTCACGAGCAACCTTCTAGAACGGATTGTGCTCGTTACCCAAGGGACCACTGTACAAGGGCTTACTGTAATTATTAGGTTAGTTAAGCTACTTCTAACAGAATGTGAATTGTTTATGTGATGATTCCTGTAAATATTTGTGTGGTTCTTAATACTGTATTCTGTTTAGGTTAAGGGTAACTGTTAGTTCAATTACTTTTATATTAGAGTTTGATTTTCTTCAAAACCCTGGATGTATCAGCTGTATATGTAGTCTATAGTCATAGACAGTGCAACAATAGAGTTAATCATATTAATTTAAAGTGCTGATATAAAATGTTTTACTCTTATCCAAATAAAATTTATTAATGACTAAAGGAATATAACAATTATTAAAAATTTTAGAAAATTACCGTGTGGTAATGACAGCAGATACGGGATGACCATTTCCCATAGGCTTGCCCAGAGTGACAATATCTGGTACAATATCATCACCTTGTGTCTGGAATGCCCACATGTGAGAACCAACACGTCCAAACCCGACTTGTACTTCATCTGCTAAACACAGACCACCTGCTGCTCGAACATGCCTGCAAAATATTTTAGTATTACTGTGATATGAAATCATGTGGGAGTTCTCAGTTTTTTAATAGAGGTTTCTTCCACTCTTGCATCTTGTTAATTAAACCACATTCAAGATTATTTGCCAATAATATCATATACAAACAGTATATTATTCTTATGTTTGGACCCATACACCTTAACTCAAATTATCAGGTACACAAAGGGTACCACTGACCCTAAGAGCCCAAATTAAACAGAAGGACAAGATTAGAAGTGAGATGCAGTACTGTAGTGTAAATATATATTAAATATTTGTCCTAACCATCCATGGAGCTGGTTCATGCATAATACATAAGGCCATATAATATCAAGCTGCTGTAGATTTTTCACTTTCATAAGTGAAGTGTATAACCGATTAAAATAAAATCTGTTTTTATCATATTCAAAAGCAGTTACTCTGTGATTATGCACTAAGATAGACAGTCCACAAGCACCTCGTGAGTCTGGATGAAAGTACATGTGGTGAGCAGCCTGTGTGAGGAACCGTGGTGTACTACATCAGTGTGGAAGCGAAGCACATATTCGAATGGCTCAAAGTCATCAACCCATTATTTAAGGTGGCAGCTGATTGGTCAGTCTTGCAACAATATAACTGCCCAAGGACAATGAATTATTAAGAGCATTAGGAAGAGATAAGGTAAAAGAAAAGAGAGATAGACTGAGAGAAGGGAACTGTTGAGTAATATGGAATTAGTTTAATAAGACACCTGAAAAAAGAAATGCAGGGTGTCCATAAATGATTACCAGTAAACCATGCTGTAATCACTTATGGACACCCTGTATCTGTTAGTATCAATAACTTTAAAATCTTCACGGTAACCGAGTTGACTAGATATTCACACAGGATTGATTCAGTCCTCCTGGATAGTGGAGCCTGTCATAAAACTACACCCCATATGGCTTTAGACACAAAATAGGAGTATATTACTATACAACCCTCAGGGGTCACTCATTGAGGAACCATATTAGTAGGCATTAAATAAGCACAGCATTTTGCCTACATTTTGTAATATTCGCACAGTGATACTAACTTGTATACTTGTCGCAGATATCCAGGTGGGAAGACGATCTGACCACCACAACTCTGCATAGACTCTGCTAAGAAGATACACACCCCACCACTCTGTTTGGTGGCCTTCTCACAGAGGAGCTTCACCTCATCAGCATACTTCTCAGACAACTCTTCCATTGAGTAGTCCTTGTTAGTGTACTTGCCACGGTACACATCAGCTACAGGAGCCTGTATAAAAAAAAAAAATAAAAAAATAAATAAATAAATAAATATATATATATATATATATATATATATATATATATATATATATATATATATATATATATATATATATATATATATATATATATATATATATATATATATATATATATATATATATATATATATATATATATATATATATATACACACACACACACACACACACACACACAGTCGGCCCTTAACATACGCAGGGGTTAGGTGACAGAAATACCCGTGAAAGTTAAAATTCCGTGTACTGTTGCTGGCCCCCCCCCATGTCCTTATTTACCGTATATACCTGTGTGTAGTTCGAGTTTTTAAGACCAAATTATTTGCAAAAAATTGGGGCTCGACCTCTAAACGGGTAATAGTTTCGTTAGGTTGAAAAATATTTACCAGTAAACAATGGAAACGATGCACCAACGCACCACCCGCTGTGAGTGTCGGTACAGTTGCTAGGGCAGATCTCTTGCATCATCATAGCAAGCCCAAAGTAGCCAAATGCATGGTATGGTATGCACAGGACGATGTAAAACAAAGTATTCATTTATTAAAGTTTATTTATAGATACTGTACATAAATTTTTGTTCATTACATTTGAAACATCAATCTTTGTTAATTAAATTTGAAACAAAAGAAAACTACGATACCGTATTTCTAAATACAGGGTATTTTCATTAAAATATTACATCACAAGTATATTTTACCTTAGCTGTGACTGAATGAATATATTCTCAGAAATAAATATGGAAATGTAATATTTTTGCTGAAATGACGTACGTAGTACAGTGGAAAGTGGGATAAAATCATGACGAAAACAATGACTTTCGCTTTCTTTCGTTGTTCAAAAGATTTTACCGTTGAACAAACCTGTACTGTACATGTACTAAATGATTACGGTACTTAAATTGTTATGTCTATTGCAAATATAGATTGTTTATACAGGTATTCAAATAAATCACTATCTTACAAGAATGCCAGCAATGTAAGTTATATTCACCCAGGTTGTTTGGGTGGCAAATTATGAGAAGAGCTTAGTCACTCTTAAGTAATGATAAAAAAACACGTAGGCCTTCAGTGCCAACTGTCACATCTTATCTCAAATAAATAAACAAACACCACACTCTGTCACCCCCCCCCCCCTCCATGCTCGCTGGCTACCTCCCTCCTTGTGTTCCCAGACAAAAGATTGGTGTGATAACTTTATTCTTTAAGGTGTTTATTTTATATATCTCAGACTAAACTTAGATTATAATTTGCATTGCTGGAATCCTTGCAAGACAGCCAATAATTTGAATATAAACGTCATATATTTTGCTCAAGAGATAAAAATTGTTGTACATTAGTGTACAGTACTGGTTTTCAGTTAAAAAAACTGTTGTATTACAATAATATTCCCTCCTAATTGACTTGAATAAATACTTGAATGGAAATATACAATATTTTTGTTGAAACTACCCGCGTTTCAGTGTAAAGCGTCGTAATCATAAATGGTAAACAATTTGCCTTTGGCACTCTGTGTTTCAGGCATGGCGAGCCTCAGTTTATAGGATGTAGAGTGTTTTTACTGAAGGTTTTGTTATTCCAATACCCTCAAAAACTTGGGTCGACCTATAAACAAGGAATATCATAAATTAACAATTTTTTGGTCAAAAAATCAGGGTCGACCTACAATGCTGATGTCAACACAAGCGTGGTTACAGCGAGACTGACTGAGTGAGGGAGCGCGGGGTGGCGTGACGCGTGTGTGTGTGTGTGTGTGTGTGTGTGTGTGTGGCGGGCGATGTCGCGCGCGATTTGAATGGCGCTCGATTTGAATGTACTTCAATTACTTCAATGTACAGAATATTCCTCCGGCGGGGCAATCTGCGTATTTGCGAATCCGTGTATGTGAAGGGCCGACTGTGTGTGTGTGTGTGTGTGTGTGTGTGTGTGTATATATATATATATATATATATATATATATATATATATATATATATATATATATATATATATATATATATATATATATATATATATATATATATATATATATATATATACCGTATATCTCGGCTTATAAGACGAAATTTGAACATTAAAAAAATCTGCCCAAAGTTAGGGGGTCGTCTTAAGCAACAAATATAAAATTCTTACATCTTAAATATTGTGCCAAGAGTGGTGATGGAAACATCGTAAGCCACTCACAAAGTCCTACCAGTAATTATTTTATACTGAAACTTACGTTTGGCAAGCTGGATTCAAATTAAGATTACCGGTATATTAAAATAATAAAAATGTATTATAAACCTGTCTAACATACCCTGTAATAAACACAGCTGCTATCATCACACACCCCTCCCCCCCCCCCATTTGCCAGTGAGGAGACAAGAAAGGGAAAGTGACCGCGAGATTGGGCTATTTTTAGCCGTTGAGGTGATCAGTAATGCATACCGGGTATCGGTATATTTACTCATAATAATATTTATCTCCTATAAATAATTGATTTAAAATTTATTTTTTTACAAAGAATATTCAGTAAATGAGTGCGTTAATTCTTGAAACTATCGACAGTTAATTACAGACGCTTAAGTGACGTCACTAGTGTTTACACTACACCAGCCGGTAACATTTGATGCCATTACTTGAAATGAATTGGCCTTATTTTAAGTAACTAACTATAAATAAATACAAAAATTAAAAAAAAAGATCAAAAGTGAGAAATAATATACTGTTTGTATGTTGTGTTGTCAAAGTAAGAGGAACAATTGAAACTGCAATTGTGTGTAAATGAGGCAGAAAGTATGTATGTATGTACAGTGACCCCTCCGTTAATGAACTCAATCCGTTCCAGAAGGTCATTCGTTAACCGAAAAGTTCGTTAACCGAAACCATTGTTTCAATGGGTTTTTGGGTAATTGGTTCCAGCTCACCGAAAATTTCCTAAATTCAACAAAAATGGTAGAAAAGTTCACTTACTTTGAGGTGTGCATGTAGACGGCTCCTAGATGATGATGATGATGATGGGATATAGAATGGGGGTGGAGGAGTAGGAAAAAGAGAAGGCATTGGGGTGGAAGAGAAGTCACTCCATGGCGCCATTTCACCCATAAAATTTTAGCTCTCTTGGTGTAATTCAAGATTATTTTCTTTAAATCAACACTGCACTGCATTATATATTGTCAATATGTAAAATATATTTCAAAATGACCAATAATTTGCTTGGAAACACAGAAAAAAAGCGTTTAGTTGAAGAGAGTCTCAAGCAAGATGTTACCTCCAGTGAAAACAGAGAGAGACTAACTCCTGTTTGCTGTGTTAAGAGGCTGGATGCCGCGCATTAAACTAGTCACTTTACCTTCAGTTATGTTCAATAAATAATTGTTAAAATGACTAAAAAATTGAATATTAAACTTTTAAAATTATTGAATAGTATAAACTTCTTGATATTTACTAAAATAGTAAGGAATTTAAGCCCTAGAACCAATTAATGTATTGGCAGACTGATACTAAAGCTGGTTGCCCGGTCAGTGCAAGCGAAGACATGTTGAGGTCGGTTCGTAAGAACTTCGTTAACCAAATTTTTTTTCGTTAACCGAATTGAAGATCCTTATGGAAGGCAGTTCGTTAATCGAAATTACGTTAACCGAGGTGTTCGTTAAGCGAGGGGTCACTGTATGTATGTATGTGTATATATATATATATATATATATATATATATATATATATATATATATATATATATATATATATATATATATATATATATATATATATATATATATATATATATATATATATATATATATATATATATGTTTGTGTAATAAATGTATGTAGTAAGTACTGTAGTGGACTTCTCCCTACACTGCGTAGAGCGGCGTCACCTGCTACCATCTTCCTTAGCAACTGCTGAAGTACAGCAGATGTTACAGATATTAGCAACGGAACCAGAGACCGGCGATTTCGGTTTTCCCAACATGACCATAGAGGACTCACGGGTATATAAGCTCTGTCTCTCCATTGAGATTCATTCTGTCTCACTTCTACAACACGCAACACCTCCTCCAGCAAGCTCCACGCTGTCCAGCATTCATTCAACCAAGAGGCCAGCAACAGACAACATCTTCTAACGAAGCTCCTGCACATCTACCTCCTTCAACACGCTACTCACCGAACGCTCTCTACTGAGCAGCTCCTCACCACACGGCACCTCCAGCACCAGACTGTCTATCATATAACTTATATTACACAAGAAAACCACCTTAGAGTTTCCATTCATCCTGAGTGCTAGACAACATTATACCCAGAATTCCTACAGTACGTAATATTTTTTCACTCAACCAATGAAACACTACTGGAGAACATTTCTTTGTCGCAAAACAAGTTTATAAATTAAAGAAAATAATTACAGTGTGTTTAATATATTACAGTATATTATAAATAAATAAATAAATAATTCGGTAAATCTATTTCAAGTAAATGGAAAATAAGCAAACAAATGTTATTTACCAAGACGCTTCCTCTGGCTCAGGGTGAGATGTAGGGTAGATAATAACATTAGCAGTCTGTCTTTGTGCTTGAAGTGGCACGTACCTTAATGCACCATAAATAATTCATTGAACATTCATTTTTGTACATAGTATATATATATATATATATATATATATATATATATATATATATATATATATATATTATATATATATATATATATATATATATATATATATATATATATATAGTATATAGGTACATACTGTAACTTTCACTCAAATTCTAATGAAACACCACATTAGAATACGGTGGTTGCTGTTGAACCACCTGTTGTATAAATAGTCGAACACAGTCACACCACCGAGACGGGAACACTCCCACCACCGATCGCTCAAGCAAGCGTATAAATGAAAGAAAATACTTGCAGTGTGTTTAATATGTTACAGTATATTATAAATAAATAAATAAACAAATAAATCGGTAAACCATTTCAAGTAAAT